CCAGTCAGTTCAGGGACTTGGTGTGAACTCACTGCTGATAATTTATCTCTTAAAGCTGATGTGGAGATGTACTTCATTGAAAAAAGATCAGTTGATGGTACATATTCCTTAAGTAAATAAATGTCCTTTCTATTTGTGTTGTACTAAACCCTGTACCTGGGGGGAATTCTGGTGGTTTATTCATTCATTCATGGAATGTGAGTGGTTCTGGGTGGTCCAGTTTTAATTGCCCATATCGAACAGCCCTGGAGATGATGGCGCTGAGCTGCTTTCATAAAACACTGCTGGGTTTGGGATGTGCAACTCCTGGAGTGCCATTTGCACAGGGATCCAGCACTCTGACCCAGGGACGGTGGAGTAGTATTGATATACTGTGAGACTCGGAAGGGAGCCAGCAAGAGCTGCTCTCCCATTGCACCTTGTAGTGATGGAATTGGTGGTGGCCAGGGAGGGGCTTGGGACATTTTGCTGAGCCACAGAACATGATTTCTGAATTGGCAACTCCCTTGTTTACAGCTGTCGGGCTTCACTCTCCTCTATCTCTACTGGGAACAGGCCTATCTGTTTCTGTCATTCTCTGTCTCTCTCTCTCCATCCTTCCAGCTGCCTGTTGCTCACACCCTCTGTCTGTCTCTGTCTCTCTTTCTTTCTGTCTCTTTCCTACTGTCCCCTTCCCTCTGCCTCTCCTTGTCTGTCTGTCCATCTTTTCAGCTTTCTCTCAATCTGTTTGCAGCCATCCATCACCACTCTAATGGAACACGTTGTCATCATGGAGAGTAAAGCAGCAGAGGCATTAGTTTCACCTCAGTGATCACAGGAATGTCAGGGCATTGTTCCCCAACCTGCTAACCAGCTCTCTCTGGCTCTCTCTCTGACCTTGCTCTCCCTGACCTGTGGAGGGGGAGTCAGGCCTGACCGATGATCCATCAGTCTGAGAAGGAGAGGGAAGCAGGATATCCTGGTGCTGGGAATGTTCCCAGAGATTGCAGAGGCAATTGTGAGCTTCTGGGGCAGCTTTCACAGTGCTGTGAAAGACTGGAAGCAGAATTTCAAACATTCTGTACTGCTGATGACAACTGGAGGTACATTGTAATTCGGAGTGAAATCTGAGGCAAGTTGTGCCTTGCAGCAAGCTCAGAACTGCATCTCGATGTACTGTCATTCCAGGCAAGGATAAATCGCAACTGAGATATGGCATGACTCACTGTGATCTCTGCATCTCTTCTGGACCGGGATCTACTGCAGACAAAGACACGTCATAACAGTAAGAGAGGGCTGTTCCACCCCAATCTTCCTGGACACTAACTGAGACGATACAGAGAAAGTAAGAACTGCAGATGCTAGAGTCAGAGAACTGAGCTGATACACTGTCTGGGACCCAGGTCACCAGCTAAGCGTTAACATGGTCATCATCATTGTCAGGAAAGGGGTAAAGAGCCCAGAAAGCTGAAGGTGAGACCAGTTTGAGGGGGGGGGGGGGGGGGGGTGGGTGGGGGAGTTTTTGCTAAAATTTGAGGGGGCGTGTGAGAATTTTCAAAGTTGAGGTTTGGATCCCTGCTCGAGTCCCATAATTTAACAGGGATTTGGGAAACCCGGAGTTTTGCGGGAATCAGGAGGTTGCTGTCTTTTGGGGGAGTGAGGGGTCCCTAAGCGAATGTAATCCATTATCTGCTGTCCTTGTGGTTAATCACATCCCGATGCCTCTTCTTTTTCCCCCAGATGTTTCCCAGGAAAGTCCGCTTTCTGTGCTACCACCTCGTCCTGGTCCTGAGCCTGTTCCTCCTGTTCTCCCGGTGGCTGTCTTCCCCATCACAGCACATTCGCAAGGAGCTGGGAATCTCCCCGGTGCCCGGTCGTGTCTTCCAGGTGAGGCCGGACTTGGAGTGTGACAGGGAGCCTCCCTTCCTCATGCTTCTGGTAACGACGAGGCCGCAGGAGGTTTCGGAGCGAGGGGCCATCCGGGAGACGTGGGGTGCAGAGAGGCGCCTCGGCGCCAGGCGCATCTGCACATTCTTCCTGCTCGGACATGGGGGCGCGTACCAGGGGCAGATCCATCGGGAGAGCCAGTCCTACCGGGATATTCTCCAGGGAGACTTCACTGACACCTATTACAATTTAACGGAGAAGGTGTTACTGGGTCTGGAGTGGGTCCATCGATTCTGTCCCTCAGCCCGTTTTGTGATGAAGACTGACTCGGACATGTTTGTCAATGTCTTCTACCTAAGCCAGCTGCTAGGAGGTAAGAACACCACGGGTTTCTTCAGTGGCCAGCTCATGAGGGACATTCGGCCCATCAGGAACAAGGCCAACAAGTGGTACGTCAGCGAGGAAGAGTTTGCTCCCACCCTGTATCCTCGCTACTGCTCAGGAACGGGCTATGTCCTCTCTGGAGACCTGGCTGGGAAGATCTGGGGCATCTCCAAATCCATCCCGCTCCTCAAACTTGAAGACGTTTATGTGGGCCTCTGCCTGACCAGACTGGCAGTCTCCCCGGTCCCGGTGAGCAGTAGACGGGTCTTTTTCACTCGCCATGTCCCCTTCTCAGTTTGCCGCTATCGCTCGCTCGTCACCTCGCACAGGGTGAGTCCGTCTCAGCTGCGTCTCTACTGGAAATCCCTGGAAGAGGCTGAGGCATCAGAGTGCCCTTTGACCCCTTAAATCAAACAAGGTGCCTCAGGCAGGGGATGGTGGTGCAGTGGGATTGTTACTAGACTGGCAAGCTCCAGGTCCAGGGGTAACCCTGTGGGCTGGGAGTGTCATAGTCATAGAGATCTACAGCAGGGGAAAAGACCCTTTGGCTGATTACACCTGTACCTACCAAAAATAACTGTCAAACTATTCTAATTCCATCTTCTGGCACTTCGCCCACAGCCCTGTATTCCTTGGCGTCACAAGAACACCTCTAAATACACTTAAAATTTTGAGGATTTCTGGCTCTTATAGTCAGTGAGTTCCAGACACCCATCACCCCCTGGGAGAAAAAGGCCTATTTTTAAAAACACCTCTTCTAAATCTTCTGCTTTAAATTTATGCCCCCAGTCCAGTGACACCACACTCCCCCATCAAGGGGAATTGTTTCTTCCTGACTACCCTATCTATGCTACTCATAATTTTATACATCTCAGTGATATCCCCTCTCAACCTCCTCTGCTCAAAACAAAACAACCCCAGGCTGTCCAATCTCTCTTCATAGTGGAAACTCTCCAACTCAGGTGACATCCTGGAAAATCTACGCTCCATTTTCCATGTTACTATCACATCCTTCCTATAATGTGGATTCCAGAACTGCATACAGTACTCTTGCTGTGGCCTAATTAATGTTTTATACAGTTTCAGCACAACTTTCCTGCTCTTCAACTCTATGCCTCGGCTAATGCAGGCAAGTTACTCACAGGCCTTGTTAATCACTTAATCTACCTGTCCTGATTACCATAAGGTTCTGGTGTACGTGCGCACCAAGATCCCACTAATCCTCAGTGTTTTCCAGTGTTTTCTATCATTCATCATGATTTCCCTTGTTGGTCCTATTTTGTCATAAGAAGTTTGAAATCAATTAATAAAAATTTGGAATTCAGAGCAACTCTCAGGAATAATGGCCCACACACTTACTGGATCTATGTCACTTAATTTGTAAATGCTTTTTATCCTCTTCACCATTTACTTTCTGACATATCTTTGCTAGGGCAATTATTAATGTTAAATTTAGGACTGAACTGATTTGTTAGCTATTTTGTGTGTGTGTGTGTTTGTGTATGTGTCTGCGTGTGTGTGTACGTGTCTGCGTGTGTGTGTGTACCTGTTCCTCCTCACTCAGTATGTTTGCAAAGTGCTACATACATCCTTTAGCCTTTTTGAGTTGATTCATAGTGGCCTTTTCTCCCATCCATGAGGAGACAATACATGTCTTGCAGTTGTAGTCACATAAAGTGACCACCATGAACAAACCTAAAATGGCTGACCAATGACAGGATGGAAGAGATTCAAGGGAGATGGATCCATAGAACCCCTACAGTGTGGAAATAGGCCCTTCAGCCCAACAAGTCCACACCGAACCTTGGAGCATCCCACCCAGATCCATTGCCCTATAACCCACTTCATCTACACACTCCTGAACACTACAGGCAATTTCCATGGCCAATCCACCTAGCCTGCACATCTTTGGACTGTGGGAGGAAACCAGAGCACCTGGAGGAAAGCCACACAGATACAAGTTACTGTACAAACTCCACAGTCAGTCACTCGACAGTGGGATCGAACTTGGGTCCCTGGCGCTGTGAGGCAGCAGTGCTAACCACTGAGCCACCATGCCACCCGTGGATAGGATGAGGCCACATAGGGATTTGCACACACAAGGATATAGAATGGTGAAATCCAGGTGTCAATGTACATCAGTGAGTCCAGGTGGCGATGAGGAGACAGGGGGTCAGACAGCATTCTGAAACATTAGCTCTCTCTCCACAGATGCTGCCTGACCCACTGTGATTTCCAGCACTTTTTGTTTTCAGTACAGATTCCAACATCTGCAGTAATTTGGTCCTATATGGGGAGACAGTGCTTGGAGTGAGATTGATAAAGCACAGAACACAGAGAGGAGGAAGAAGCGGATCATTTCAGGTTGTCAGGCTGGGTGTCACAAGGACCATTGCTACAGACACAGTTCGATATAATCACTACTTGTGAAAATGAAAAGGACCGGGCATGTGGAGGGCTGCGATCAGAAAGCTTGTGATTTCAAATAAACCTGTTGGACTATAACCTGGTGTCATGTGATTTTTTACTTTATCCACCCCAGTCCAACACCGGAACCTCCACATCATGTTTAACAATGTGATAGAAATAGTCTTCCTCGTAATGTCATGTCAATGGTTTGTTTTTCACCAAATATTATGGAAACAGTCTCTTGATTTCATATCCTGTTTTTCACCATGTACTTTGTTGTCCCTGTCACTGTGCAGGGTCGAGTTGTTTGTTGTACACACAACACTATCACTCCTTGGGCTTTGTGGGAGCCATCTCCGTCAAATTGTTGTCATAAAATTTGAGATTGTATCAAAGTTTTCAAATCAGACTGCCAACATCATCAAAGACCCATCACACCCCGGTAATGACCTCCTACAACCTCTTCAATCAGGCAGAAAATACAGAAGTCTGAACACACGCACCAGCAGGTTCAGGAACAGCTTCTTCCCAGCCTTTATTAGTTGGATGAATGGATTCTCTAGCCTCAAATAATGCCGATTGTGCTAAAGTTGATCTTAACTAGTGCATACCCTGTGCAATGTAACCTGTATGCCTCTGTCTAAGCCTTTTTGATCTGTACTTCCTTCATTACTATGATCTGCCTGTACAGCTTGTAAACAAAGCTTTTCACTGTACTTCGGTATATGTGACAATCAATCAATTAATCAAGTTATTTTGCTACAAAGTTGGAGGCCTGAAATTTTAACTGTGTTTCTCTCTCCACAGGAACTGTCAGTCCTGTTGAGTACTGTCACCATTTTCTGGGTTTATTGTATAAAAAACTGATCCGAAAGTTGGAGGGCAGTGTACGGTTTTGGTGATCAACTTTCAGAAAGGATGTGATCTCGTGACAGACTAGGGAACAGAGGAGCTTGACAGAGGATTCTGTCAGGACTGTAGAATGTTAGTGATGAGGAAACCTTTGACAGGTTGGTGCTGCTCTGATTGGGGCAGAAGAGGCTGAGGATCCTTTCCCTCATTTCAAAAGGGGAATTTGAATCATTTCATGCCTGACTGATGATGTGATTCTGCATCTAAACAGGTTCAGAGAAAGACGGATGAGAAAATAAGATGTTTGACTCTTTGGTTAGGGAATATTTAGAGAAAGCTTTACTCTGTATTAACCCCATTGTTCTTTTTGTGGGGCAGTGTAGAGGGAGGTTTATTTTGTATTGAATGCAGTACTTTACCTGTACAGGGAGTGTTTGATGGTGACAGTATAAAGGGAGCTTCGCTATGTACCTATCTAACCCTGTGCTATCACTGTTCCTGGGAGTGTTTTATGGGGACAATGCCAAGAGAGATTTAACTTTAAGTTTATAAGAGTAGATGGAACTTTATTCTGAATCTAACCCCATGCTGTAACAGCTTTGTAATATTCGATGGAATGAATGTGGTGGAAGCTGCGTTTTTGTCTAATCCTATACCTGTCCTGGAAGTGTTTCATGCATTTATTCTGACAAAGCTTTACTGAATAATCTGTCCTATTTATATATAATTCAGCTCCAACTGTTGTAGGAATTATGATGTAACAGCTTAAATGGCTATGTGAGGAACAAATGTATATATGGTGAAGGGATAAAGCCTTTTTTTTAGTGTATGAATAATTCACTGCACATGGGATCTCAGGTCATATCTTCAGAGTTTTGAGATGGCACAATTTGGCAATAGTGTAAACAGGGAAAAGAACTGGAGCAAATTTCAGGAGGATACAGGTATCTGGTGAAGTTGACAGGCACATGGCAGGAGAACTGAAATACTGAGAGATGTGGCATGACACCTTTTGGATGTTAGTTTGATATCTGTCCTTCTTCTAGCTGATTGGATGTAAAATTGATGTAAATCCTAGTTTAATTTATGTTATTTTCTAAATCTGCAAGATTCTGTTTGAGGCTGTAATTCTGTTTGTTCAGGGAAAATGTACTAAAAGCTGTTTTCATTCATACATTACTGTATTGTAGAAAGTGTTAGTTTGCTTTGCCAAAGGATATGAAGAGCTGTTTGAAGAAATAATTAGGTTTTGATTGATTGGGATGCTATTTCCACAACACTTTTATGGGAAGTGCTCTGAGATAATTAAGGTCTGGATTCCTTTCTATGTTTCAAACACATGAATACACAAAAAAACCGAAATGTCAGGTTAGCCACAGTGTTGTAGTTATGAGAATTTATTCGGAATCTGTCACAATCTATCTTGTTTGTTTGCACTCATTCCAAAAACAGTTTCTCAAATTCCATACTAAGCTTTGTGATTTTTAAAATCCCTTGTTGTCTAATTTAAAAGAGAGAATTTCAATATTGTAAAGCTCATTGATGGAATAATTCACTCCCGTCCTCGCCACTGGGTCTGGGTGCATTTCTTGGATTCACTATTTACTTATGATTGTAGATTAAATTGCAGAAGGATATTGAAGCCTGATAAATGAATCCCTCATATCTATTATTCTATATATAAACCGCCCCACCTACTCGATTAAAAGCCAGTCCATAACTGAACCGTGGCTATCAGTAATACAATGCATTAAGGAGAAACTTCTTCAGCCACAGAGTGGTGAATCTGTGGAATTCAATGCTAGGCATAGGCTGTGGAGGCCAGGTCATTGAATACCATTTAAGACGAAGATAGATAGGTTCTTGATTGTTAAGGGGGTCAAGGGTTACAGGGTGAACGCAAGAGAATGGGTTTGAGAAACCTATCAGCCATGATTGAATGGTGGAGCAGACTTAATAGGCTGAATGGCCTAATGGTCTTATAGCATGTAGATCACCAGAACTATTGATTACTATTCTTCAAAAAAATATATAGCTCAATTCAGAAATACTACAAATTAACCACAAATTTGACACAGATATACAACTTATTGAATAAAAACCCATCACTGAAAATCAACAAATTGAACAGCCTCAGAATCAAACAA